CTGTAATATTTGACTTTCTAAATATGAACATTGAAACAACTCAAGCAACAAGTTCTCCAGAGTTCAGTTCAGGGTCACAACTGCTTCCTGCTCACCTTCTCCAATGGTAATCCCTCTAACTTGAGTGTGTTTGTTGATGCTATAAACAGCCAGGGTGCAATACTTGATCAAAATTTAAGGAAACAGGACTCTGAATTCTCATTCTGAGACAATAATATGCATGGCTTATCTGTGACCACAGACTTGCTCAGTGACACGAACATTATAATATCCACTTCACCCTCTTAAATACAGAGACAAAAACAACCGGCAGTGTCCACTGAGAGGCAGGAAAAGGACACAGTGTTCTGGTAAGACAAGCAGAATACTATGGACTGGGAGGTGTTTCACAGAGGAGGAGTTTCATTTAGCCAACAGTCTCGGACTACAGTTCAGACCACAGCACAGTCTAACTCTGAGGTTTGTCTGCACCAATCAATGGTAGTTCAAAAAAGTTGCATGTTTTTAAGCATACTCAAATGGAGTAATGTCAGGCAGGCATGCATGTCGAAAAAAAAAAACTGGAATCAGCCAGGGGGCACTAAAAATTCTAGCAATGTTCAACAACACAGTGAAGTTGCTTGCAGAGGTCATGATGTAACAAATGTCTGTCACTAAATCAGATCATTTACATATTTCTATTTACGTTACATTAACTGTAGACACACTTTAGGCAAACTGGAACCAGTCTCGTCTATGACTACATTTCAGAGATACAGGGTGACAGCCAACTCGAAAATAAAACCAGTTTACCAACAGTCTGAAAAGCGGACTAACTGAAGACAAAAGACATTTAACACACCCCAGTAATGTGTGTGTGCGCGTCACAATTACTAAAATAGAACAGCAACACACATTACTAGCCTGTTTGGCATTCCTTTCGCTTTCTTTTACAGCTACCTTTAAATCATGTTGTAACAAGTTGTAATACCGAGTCAACATATTGTAGTGCAGCTGCATGGACCGTGATAATTCTCTGGGTGGAGAGAGGAGGAGCACAGAGAGATGCATGTTCTAACAAGAGAATGGAAATGAAATAAAGCCGTACCATCATGCTAGCATGATGCTCCAGAGGTATGTGTGAAAGAGGACGTTTTCTCTTCATCCCTTTCAAATATTGCCATTGTGGGATTACAGCATAAATAACTTTAATTCAAGTGAGCAGAATATATTGATCCTTGTCACACTTTCTTGAAGCAACTAATTGCAAAAACAAAATCCCACTCTGGGTAAGTTTTTGGTTGGCAACTAATTATGCCCAATACATGATTTTTTTTTTGATTCAATAAGGCTGTAATGGAGACAAGTATGTAAAAATGCAAACCAGGAAATAGTGCTTTATGTTCTCACAGCCTGTACTGCATCTGACCTTTGACCTTTTCTCTAGATCTCATGGTTGCTACTGGAATAATGAGCTAAGAGCGTCTCTCATATCTCCCACTGGTCCATTTATTTCAGGCACAAGATCCGCTCTCAGAGGTACGTGTTGGAAAGAGATGACAGCTTAACTTGTGGAGATAGACCAGAGATAGCAGATGGAGAGGAACCTGATAACTCTGTCTGAAGTCAATAGGAGAGGAAAACATAAAATGGTAACTACTGACACCCTGAGCTGGTCTCATTGCACAGTGATGCTAATGCATTACTGCCATCACTGGTGATTCAAAGTAATTTCTTGAAAGTGAAAACTGCAAATCAGTGAGCAATATTCCAGGCTGTTAGAACCATGTCACAGGCTACAGCTACTGACAAGGTCTGTGCTGCTGTTATATTTAGTTACATAACAAGGGGAGACTGGCTCTGTGGCTGTGATGTTAATCTGTATCAGACTGTAAGTACAGTGGCCACTGGTTAGATGTTAAAGACAAGAATGAAGCATGCACCTGAAACAAGGCCAGCAAATTTGTAAAAACCAGAGCAACATCTTTAAAATATTATGTTGTATAAAAGCAACTGCTTTCCAGAAGGGATTATTTTCACTGTTCATTATTTTTTCTATTAATCGATTAGTTCTTTGGTCCATAAAATATCAAATATTAGTGAAAAATTAGTGTTTCCCAAAGCCAAAGATGACTTACCAAACTCTTATTTTGTCCACAACCTCAAAGATAATTTGCCGTCATAGAGGGGTAAAGAAACCCGGAAATATTGACATTTAAAAAGCTGGAATCAGAGAATTTTGACTTTTTTTCTCTTAAAAAAAATACTTAAACTGATTAATTGGTGATCAGCTCTGTTGGTGATTAATTTGATATTTGACAACTCGTCAATTAATGGTTTCAGGTCTGCTTACATGGAGCAAAAATGACTGTTGTGAATGTTGATTGAAAGGGCGGATAAGAAGGACAGCCAAAACAAATACAGGCTGTCCTTGAAGAACAGTGACAAGGACTTTCACTAAGTATGGTTTGTTGAATAACAGGGTGTTCTCGGCAGGAGCAGGAGGCAGAGAATCATATTTACTGTGCAACAATATAAACACACCCTAAAGTACACTCTCACATTGTGTGTATACAGGGTTCCCATGGCATCCTCAGCTTCGAACAAAGGTAGCGCTGCAACTAATGATTATTTTCATCAACTAATCTGCAGATTATTTTCATGATTAACCAATTAGTCTATAAAAAGTCAGAGAATTGATAAAAATGCTGATGACAATTTCCCAGAACCCAAAGTGACATTTTTAATTTGCGTCTTTTGTCCAAACAGAGTCCAAACCCCAAAGACTCTTCATTAATTACCAGAAATGACAAAGTAAAGCAGCTATTTCTCACATTTAAAAGGACAGAATCAGCAAATGTTTGACTTTTTTGGCCCGAAAAATGTTTTCAAGGATTAATCAATCATTAAAATAGTTGGAGATTAATCGACTTTGCACTGCAGTTCTAACCAAAAGTAATAATTTCTAATTAGAATATCACCTCAAACAGACAAAAGTAAAGGTTCAACATGCAGCAAACTCTTACCTCAAAGAGCTTTAACAAGGTTTTCATGTAAAGACGTCTAATGCCAAAGGACACCCCAAAGATGGCAGGCACGATGATGAAGACCAGCAGCAGGGTGAACCACACGGTGAAGGAGATACCCAGCAGGATACACACCAAGTTGTCAAAGGGGTTGAAGAAGAGCTCCATCTTGAAGTCAGGAGGGCGACGAAATCGATCAAATCGTTGAAATCAGAGGGCAGAGCAGATGGCAGAGGACGTACAGCAATCCACCTCCTGGCCCCAAGTGGCCCTTATCTTTTGTCAGAAAAAGGCCTTCATCAAGATAACTAGGGGATGGAGCTTCTCCTCACACTGAGCACAGAGTCATTACAAGTACAACTGACCATCTTGGCGTCGCCCTCTTGGGCAATATCAATAAATTCCATTATTTTCACCATCAATCAGATTCTGTAAACTCAGCTGGATTCAGCTCCAGGATATGGGGATGTGAGGTCTTTAAAGCAGCTGCGATGCAATGATATAGGTCCCTGCTGCAGATGTCCTTTGCTATTTGAGCACAGCCTCCCTCTGGCGACAGAGATGTAAACAATGAAACAAAAACACGCTGGGCACAGCAGGTGGTTCCCGTGTCTGGTCAGGGTCTAGGGGCTCCGCAGCTCAGTGTAACACCGACCTGCAAAGATGTGCAAACAATCGGTCAGGACTCTCCATGTCACAATATCATGTCCGCTATGACCCGAGCACATCTCGTGTAATTTAATAATGCAAGGCGGAAAACGTGTCCCCGCGTCACTGTCAGCTCTCTGAATACTCGGTGTGCAAAGTTACAGCTAGCCTCTGGCTATACTAAACAGAAATAGACGGGAAAATGCTCCCTAACGGGGATGTATCCCTTTTCAGCGAGTGGCCAGATAACTTCAAAAGCTAGCGTTACTGTTATCAGCACCAGTGTAGAGATAACGTTAGAGGGCCTCCGTCCTCATCTCCTCTGATGATGCTAACAGGAAGCTCCATCCCGGCTACAGCCACACTGGTTAGCTATGCTCATCACTACCAGCAGCTCAAAGCCAGCGCCTTCCAGGATAATTTAGCAGCCCCATCACCCCACAGCGCCAAGTAGCACACGAACACTAGCTAAACTAATAGCGGGTCGTGAGACTCAAGCCTCCTGAACCCACACTGGTGATTTAATGTCTAAAGTTAGCCTATGGCCTCCGAGCTAAGGCTAAATTTTGTCTCCTGGCGTGCTCCTCCTCGCTCCGCTAGCTCGCGTGCAGCCCTCGAGAGTACCGTCCGGGTGTACATGAAATGCTGAGCCAACCGTTTTGTTATAAGCTCCGTTTGGTTACGTGGACTTTTACTATGTTACACGTTATTATCCTAACTAACTGTTATCATGTAGGTAGTTTAAAAGACTCTATAGTTGACCAACCTTCAGTCACGGTACATCCTGTGCCGGTACAGCAGGCTTTCACTGGTCAGTCAGCCGTCTTTGTCTAGCGGACTACAGCCAAACTCCACCCGGCGAACAACATGGGCAGACAACGGGCGGCTCACTGCTGGCTACGACCAGCCCTCAACGCGCTCATCTCCGTCCTGACACCTGGTGGCCAAAACAAATACTGCACTGACATTTAATATGGCATTTACACAATGTGACCACCAGTGGCGCTGTAGGGCAATACTTTGATTAAAGTGATGCAGTCAAATGAAGGAAAAAATAAACACAAATACAGTTAGAAGCTATTGTGCAATTCTAAAACTAAAATTAAAGCATGTTTTTCGACTGCTGAGGCTCAAGACAGGAGCAGCAGGGTGAGTAAGAGACTGTCACCTTGTTATAAATGCAACTACTCAATGTTTCTATCAGGATAGTTATCTCTCATATCCATAACCAACACAAATAAAGCCAAATATGTGTCTGCATGGTCACTAGAGGTACATAAAAATGTGTGTTTTTTTATTTGTGCGTAATTTGAGTGAACCAACAATTTAAAGCATCTGACACCAACATATTGGAATAACAAAACTTTTCTTTATTCACACATGTACATCCATTTACAGCCTTGTCAAGTAATCTCAGATATAGAGAAATGAAAACAGTACTAATATTTGGCACACCATTCAACCTTTGAACCCTGAATTAATATGCCTGTTACACAAGACGAAACTAAAACCTCAGTTATGTTTCATATCTATAGGTAGTGGATTTCAATATGTTATTATAGCCGCTCTGAAAGCACTGAAGCACAATCGGCGGCCACCGTAGTTTTATTTTATGTCAGGTTCCAAAGGGACAGTCCATAGCTAAAGTGAACATCTTGTCAACATCACAACCATCACATGTGCACCCAGGAGGCTCAGACCACCGCTGCTCTGACGAGCATCAAGCGTTGCTCTCCAGTAGAGCCTCGAAGTCTGGGGAACAAACCATTTTGTGTTTAACATTCCCTAATACACTCAAGTCACCTGTTCTTTCTTCTGCACCAATAGAGACCAGCTCCTGAAAAAACAGTGTGGGGGAGAAGAGAAAAGCATGTCAGAAATGTTAATAACTATGAGAGCAAATAAATATTTATTCTATGATGAACAGTGGTGTGTAGAGAGGCACTGAAAGACAAACAGTGTTGCACCGTGGAGAAACAAATACAGTATGAAGACAAATAGGCTTTTCCACTGGCAGTTCTGGCTGCGCCGAATCAACCCATGCCAAGACAATTTGCATTTCCTTTGACAGTGTTAACATGTTGAGCCAGGCCAAGCTGCACCCAAGATGGACCATCTCTTGAGTCGAGCCAAAAGCATGCCAGACCACCCTAAAGCAGGTAGCGGTAATGTCTCGACAACTGCAGCCAACCCTTGACAACTCCCTTCTCCACCTAAAACATGCTGTGTGTTGTAAGACTCAACTCATGTCTGTGCAGACCAGAGAGAAAGGCACACTTAAAAGTCTCTGTGTGTTCAGTTCTCTGTACTTTTGTAGCTTCTAATTGAACCACTGTGGTTTGGAGTTTGGTTACTCTCTTGCGTCCATGTTTGTGCTTCAGATATTTGCTTTATTTTACAGTTTCATGTTCCCTCTCAGTCTGGAGTCATGTTAAGTTACTGCTGATGAAAACTCAACATTTCCTTATTTTCCTGCTTCAGTAAAACAAAACTTTCATTACTTTTATTGTGAAGAAATCTACAGGAAATTAAATATGTTTATCACCGATTTAGCAGAATTTTGTTAACTGCTTCAATAAAAAAACAAGTCTACTAATACCACAGGGAGGAAGACTTGGTCCACTTAGCGTTTCCACCGCAAACAGCAATCTTAAATTTGGGCGGGGTTATTGTCACTCACTGCTCCATACAACACTCACTGTATGTCCTGGCTCTTCACCGGTGACTGGTACTGTCCACAGAATGGGATTACAGGACCATAAATGGTTACGGTACAGAACAGTTCCATTGGTACCATCCACAACTTTTCACAGTGGAAATGGGAAAAAAAGCGTATCAAACTGTACTGTACTGTACTGCTTGTTGGAAACGGAGCTTTTCTGCACCTCTGCAAACAAATTACTTCCGACAGGTAAACATATTTTAACTGCCGTACTGTTACTGCTGGTTATAAACTTCGATTCAAGACAAGACCGATATCAGTAAAAGACACACCTTCAAGCAGGTTGCCTTGTTGTAATGGAGACACAAATCCTTGCTGCGCTGGGCTGACATCCCGAGTCAAACAAAGTTAAGCTAAGCCAGCATGTGTAAAACAGAGACAGAAAGAGACACATCAATACTACAATCATACCTGAAGGAAAGAGCATGATGCTCCTAGAGACACATCGAGTGTCACATGTCCCAGTATGAGCTGGACCCGGCCAGACTTCCGCACCAGCATCTTTCCTATGAGACCCTCCCGCAGGTCTTTCAGATTGCACATGTTGTCTTCAGCTTCCTCCTCCTATTTAAAATAACAATGCCATTTACACACGTGACCTCAATATCATCATGTTATTAACATGTAGACAACAACTGTATCTACCTGCGACTCTGTTTTCAGGAGCACGGACTGTCCGTCCTCTGACTGCACCTCAGTTTTCGTGGGCCTGAGCTCTTTGGTTGGAGGCTGGCCGGGCAGCGTGTCAGGCATCTGCATGAAGAACAGCTCATCCCCTTTGCTCAGGCTCCATCTATGCAGCAGGTCAGGAAGCACTTCAGGCTCAGGGAGAGGAGGGGGCCTGAAAGCTCCCTCTGACTTCTTTATTTCAGTTTCCTCTGGCTCCTGTTTCACTGAAGAGACAATAAAGTGTATTTTGGAAGATTTAGTTCCTGCTTTCACAAACTATCATTGGAAATACAAGCTGCTGACATGGAAACTGCTGCTTAGATACAAGAGCTTTTAGTTTTATCTCAGTACCTTCAACTGCGTTTTCCATGGGTTCACTTTCCTCGTCCATCTTCTCGATTTTAACAGCAGCGTTAGAAAATTCTTCTGTGAATCCCCATCCTGATACAGCGAGGGGAAGCTGGACGGGGCAGCTCCTCCGCTCACTCCTCAGGAAGGGATCATCTATGAACTGAGAAAATGCAATAGAGAAGTAAAGTTTAAGGAAAATGCAAAATTAAGCTTCTTAATAAAGATGACTGACAGCCAAGGGACGTACATTATCTCGCTCAAGCTTGGCAAGAATCTCTTTGGTCTCTTCCTCCGTCTCTCTCTTCTCCTTTTTAATATTGATGATGGGTGAAGGTCCCACACTCGGAGCTTCTTTCTCACTTTCATAGCTACCTGTGTGTGTGATACAGAGGCACTTGAATCAAGAAACAATTCAGCATGAGTAATATAGACTGTATAAAAGAAAAAATCACTAGCAGTACAGAGTGAGCGGTCATCAAGCTGAACTCTTACCTCTCTTTTTCATCATCATCTCTGCAGGCCCCTGCTCAAAGATAGAGTGGGACTGGATGGTCTCTTGGCGACCTCGGCCCCTGCCTCTATCTCTCGGGCCGCGACCTCGACCTACATCCTTCCTGTCCCTCCTCTGCCCATCCTCAGCTTTTGTCCTGCCATAACAGAGAAACAAATCATTGGCTAACAGTCAAAGAGATAGCTGAATTTATGTATTTTTTCCATTTGAGGTCAGCTGAGGACTTACTCATCTCTGGCTTTCCGACCAATAATGTTGGGTGTGAAGGTTTTCTAAAAATAATAAAACACAAAAACAGTACTTGAGTATGGGAACAAGGAGTTGCCAGTGCATGTGAACATTTCCTGGACAATGATCATTTCTAGCGGTGAGATACGGCACATTACCTTCTTCACTCCTCCCAGGGTGAGGTCTCTTGATCGCATTGAGGGGAGACGACCAGTAGAGATGGCGGCAGGTGGTCTGCGGCCCATAAGCAGTCCTATACCGCTCCCTCCAGGGGTTGGCACCCGTTGACCGCTGGGGTCACCTGAGCCTGAATCTGCCATCCTAAACCAGACACATGTGGTAAAAAGGATAAAGACCTTATGTATGTGTGACTGATTAATAACATGAATACTAATACAGATATTCTTACTAGAATGATTGTTGTAATGTGGATAAAAGAAGGGACGGAGATGCATTGGCTTATTTCTTCCACAGAAGATGATGATGATGATGATGATGATGTGGTTATTTTTGTCTTTGTTGATGTCTTTTCTGAGCAGCTGATGATGCATTTATACAGTCTGATTGTTGTAAGTCATTTCCAATGTTTATTTTTTATGCGAAGCCTTGATGAGGTTGGTTTAAGAGTGCTATATTTGAGTAACCTACATGTGCTGGCAAGTTAATGTGTTCAGGTTTAACCGAAATGCTCTATAACTCGATTGTTGTAAAGTATTTATTATAAACAGTGTTCCTCTGACATAAAAACAAAGCTAAACTAAAAGCACCCCTGCTCTTTGACCACAGCAATAAAGTCCAGGGACATCAACAACTGACAGTCATTTTAAGAATAAAAGCCAACGACCACGTCACACTTTTTATGTCACGACTTACAATATTTCATGACATTGCGTCAACAGTGGCATAAATTCAGCAACACGTGGCCAAATTAAAACACGAATACAAGCATACAGCACCAGTATGTTAAACTTTAACGCTCTCAGGAACAACTATTGACTCCATATGCCTCTCTAGATATTTACCTTATGAATCCTCGGATGTCCTAATTAGATATTCAGTCCAAAGTTGTAAGAGAAGAGTCATTACAAGTTGTTTTGAGCTAGTGCTGCTTCTGACAATGCATGCCGCACGGCGCCATGACACTTCCGCAATGTCATCAGCCTGAGCTCACGCGCATCAAACCTGCGCATGAAGATGCGCATACTCAAACACTGTCGTACGGAAAGCTTTTACAGTTTTCTTGCCTGTGGATAATTTCGTTGCTTTGTGGACTATGTGTATGTATATATTACGAGTTTATATAATAAATCAATAATAATATGCTCATTTTGAAACACTGTATTAAGTGCAGTTGGTATATATAAAATATAAGGAGGGAAGGTGTATACACATGGCTCATTGTTCAACACACTGGATAAATTACTATTATCATTATTATAATTATTGTCAGTAGTAGTAGTAGTGGTAGTAGTAGTATTAACAACAACAACAACAACAACAACAACAATAATAACAATAATAAACTTTTTTCATACGGCACCTTTTGCACAAGAAATGCAGCACAGAGTGCTTTACAATATGGACATTATAGGAACTGAGTGCTTCTCATGAAAATAGACATAATGGACAAAACTCAGACAACAAAATTCAATTTATAAAAGGACATTTAACAACAGTTAAAAACATGGATTAACTGATTACACAATTTTCATTTAAAAGTGGTGGTGATTTCAGAACCTATTAATCCAAATCTCAAACAGCCTTTACTTATATA